ATTTACCAGGCAAGGTTTCTCAAATCAAAGAAAGAGTCATGTTTGGTCACATGATTTTGGTCAATTCTCGAGTAATCCATGAACATTTCCAACATGGTTTTCAATGTAATGTATGGTTTGGAATAATGGGCAATATTTTAATTGAATTCCATTTTCTGCTCGCTTGAACACGAATGGATTTTTCGCATTTTTAAATAATGACCTTTTGGAAAACATTCCTTTGAATATGAGAATGAATTCCCAATTGGTTTCAATTGAATGGCTCTCACACTGCTCACAATGGCAGAGGTCCTCAACAGTGGTTTAATATTCATTTTCCCGGAAGATGGATCGGTCATGCTGAAACCATAGCTTGGCTTCTCGTTCATTGGATTTATCACTATTAGATTTTTTTGGGTACTCCAAAGTAAAAAGTGAATACAGTGCCTGTTAATGACCTTCAATCATTAAAACGAAGAATTGTGCAAGCATGCCAAGCAATTACAGACGCACAATGTCAGTCAGCCACTCTCTCATTGATAAATGTAATGCTTATCTTTGGGCTGAAAGTAATCATTTTGAACAAAACATTTAATAATTAAATTTTGATTATTGTAAAGCAATAAAGAGGATATACCTTATTTCGACATTATTTCAACATTATTAATTCCTACAGTTCTGAATAACTTAAGAAATATCTCTTGAACGAAGCGTTTGCAAACATACGTCTAGAAGAAAATTTATGTTTGTTTTGAGATCCTGAATTCATATTTTAAGTTTGGCGGTTTAACCCGGGAACACCCTGTATAAGAATACGGTCAAAGTCTCACTATCAACACTTTGAAGCATTTAATTAACCAATCAAAAGAAAAAAATTTTACTAACTGACAAATCAAAGAATGCTTCAAAGCATTTATAGTATCACTGTAGACCGTTACTTAAACGTTGTAAGTTTTTAAAAAAATTTCTTAGATTTTTTCTTATGAATTAGAATGCTTTTCAAAAATAATGAAAAAATAATTTGAAAAATGTTTTATTGGATTACACTGGAGAATATTTTAATGTGCCTTTTATTCTATCTCTGGATGATTTTAAATTTGAAAAATAAACTCGCTGTGTCCCTCTGATGGCGCGAAAACGCTTTATGAAAAACCTTAGAACATATTTTAAGATTTCTCATTCTATAATTTTTGAAAAAGCTTAGGAAATCTGAAAGATACAGGTATGATATATTCTATGGTTTCTCATTCTGTAATTTCTGGAAAAAGTTTATAAAATTTGAAAAATTGTGAAGTATTTATGAAAAAATCTTCATAAATTCCAAATAAGAAAAATTCTAGAAAATTATTTGAAAACTTTTCGCCAGGTATAGCAAAAAATCTTTGTTCACACCCCGCATGTGATGATAAATAATGCTCACTAACTATTCAATCGATACTTGAACCGACGCATAGCGTTCTATAATATTCAAATTGAGATGAAGAACGGAATACTTCAACAACCTGAAGCAGAAAGACAACTTAGGGTGAAGAGGAACACAGGCTGAATATATTTTATCACAAAGAGATATCTCTCTGAAGTACTACAAAAAAAAATCAAAAGAAAGTATTGTAAAACATGTTATAATAAAATGAAAAAACGAAGAGATACCATTTATGTCTGCAAAATATATCCTAACTAACCTGGATATTGTTTAAACTGCGCTTAGATTATTTATATATAAATTGTGTTGTTTTAATAAAATCATTTTATTTTGTTTTTCTATTTTTATTCAAAGAAGAATTAATTTAATGCGTACATTTTTGTGAAGTTAATAAAAAACAATTTAATTTTTAATGAAATTTTGTCAATAAAATATGATTAAACGCTTTTCTTGTTTTAAATATTAAAGAGATTATCTCTAACGTAAGAAGAAAAAGTTGCCGAACCTCGAATATGAATCTAATTCTCAGGAGCATTAGTTCAATTTTTTGGGTTTTCAAAAATTTACAACTCAAAAACAGAGTCATGATATGTATTGTGACGTGACATTTCTGTCCGTCACTGTGGAAAGTCGTCGGCAGCGTACTCGTGCGTCCTACCGGCTCAGAGGGCGAGCGTGCGTGCGAGCGCACCAGCGAACGTGTGCTAACACCGTATTGTCTGTCGGTTTTACCAATTCTTCTTTTTTTTGTTAAGATTTCTTTTGTTTAATGATCAATCTCACCAGAAATTAGAATCGCCGCGGATCGCACTCAGCAGCTGCTATATTATACAATTATGTGATTATGCCGTCTCACCCGCCAACGGAGAAAGGAAGACCGCATCGGAAGGGGAACCGCATCGGAAGAAAGACCGAAGAGGCTGAGCTGGAAGACCGCCCACCCGGAAGCCCGGACACGCAGGTTGTATTGCTTTGAGTAATTGTTCATAATCCGCTGCCGCCCTAAAACATGCTTACACCACGCACCCTTGCAAAGTACCGGCGGAGGCCAGAATTCCCGGCCCCTTGAGGGCCGTTTGTTGGGGACGTAGGGCCCTGGATGAGGAGCGGGAAAAGGAGCCATCAAGATCTCCCCCGCCAGGCCGGGAGGTGCCGGGGCTGTCAGCGGAGACGCCACCCTTGGAAAGGGATTTACATTGCGCGCTCATGAAAACCAGAAATCACGGCCGCGTGGGCCTGCACGGCACGGATAACGTGACGAGCCGAAGCCAATCAGCGTGACGACCTCCCTCCAAAGGAGAAGCCGAGCGGCCTGCGTGAATCCGCCGGGAGCTCCCGGGCCTCATTCCTGCTGTGGTCGAGCAGAATATTGTGAGGGACGCGCGAGACCGCAGCCGACGAGGAAAAGAAAGATACCGAGAATGCCGAGAGACGATTGCCGAGGGGACGAGACAGGATCAGGACGACGAGGGTGAGACGAGCGTTGCGGATATAAAAGCTACCGAAGCGGATTCGTCGCTTCGGGTAGATCGCACGTATGAAAGCTCGTGCCGCGGAGAGAGACCGGCGTAATGGCCGCCGGGTAGAGCCGAGGAATTGCGAGCCGCGTGCCATCTCCTCGGACATTGAGATAATTAGCTGTCGCGTTGAGATTCGAATCGGGAGGAAATCGTTAGCAGCCGAATTTTGGGAGATTTGAATCGTTAGGAGATTATCGAGGGCCGAGTCGCGTTCGCCTCTCTCGCCACAGTTGAGTCATTTCCGGTTGTTAAGTTGTCGAGTAGCGTTGTGTCGCGTAGAGACGATTGTTGTAATCGCGCTGCGCTTTCGAGTTAGTGTCCGGTTGTCGTATTGTCGAGTAGCATCGTGTCGCGTCGAGACGATTATTGTAATCGGGTGGTGCCTTTGAGATAACGTTCGGCCTCGCGTCGGCGTTGTGCGTCCGGGAAACGGGTAGTACAGAGGATACGAGTTCTTGCTGGTTGTCGATGGGGTGAACGTTGGACACCGTCGGAAGTTACCGCGGGGAACGTAGGAACTCGTACTGTAGCGTATAACCGGCGTCCGACGTTAGAAATAATTTGGCGAATCCCTTTTGTGAGTATCGGGGGTATCAAGAAGAGCGGGAGGAGCGAAGCTCCGGAAATTGCATGTTACCACGTCATCCTATGTAATTGTTTCTATTTCTTCATTCTTTATCAAATATAATATATTGTCCTTGTTACTTCGTTACTGCGTATGTAATTCTTATAGCCTACCTCTCTCGCCCTCCGACAATTTTCCCACCTTTGACGACCCACCCCTGCCGTCGCGAATTGGTTGAGAGTAAAAGTGGAGAGATTTTGGAAAGAGTGGCGTTTTCTCGTGCCTGGCGCCCAACTTATTAGTAAAAATTACGAGATTGGTCGAAAATCCGCCTAGCTGTCGCAAAATTACGCTGTCTAGCGAAAGAGATACATTTACTTAAAAGGAGAGCAAAAAGCACGCGACGAAGTTGTACCGTCGCTCGCAAGCACGGTTATAGTATATTTTTTGATCTCAAAAGTCATAAAAAAAATTGACATTGAAAAACTAGATGAACATGAGATTTCCCTTGTAAGTACGACCAATCGTTTGCTAATTGTATCTTATTGCCTTATAAATTTTACGCATCAGCAATCGCGGAAATTATATCAGCATTTTGTTTCTATTTGATTTATTGTAGTATGGAATCACAAACTATTTTTATACTTATACTAATTGAATATTTACTATAGGTCACTATAGTTATAGTTAAGGGAAAAGATTATTTATTAGCTTTTTTTTAGTTTACATTATGTTTGAATGAATATATAAATCAAATTTTAAATAAGAAGTACATTATATATTTGATCGAAGCGGAATTTGTGCTTAAATTTCTTGTGCGTATTTATATACATTTTGATTGTGCATGTGACACGCCGAAATGTTTTCCGGACTTTTTGCCTCGGTAGTCTAACTATGAGGCTATCTGCCCAGAAAGCGGGAGATCCGGATTCGATTCCTTGGCCGAGGTTTTTACGTTTCATCAACGAGAATTTTTAAGTTTCATCAACACATGACAACTAATATTCTTATAAAAAATGCTCATTAGCACAAAAAAGTTATTAAATTGCTTGTACAATTTAATAAGTGATATTACTATTTTGATTCTGCTCATGAATGCGTTTTAACTCCGGAAAACATTTCGATGCGCGATATGTAAAATCATATTATTTACATAAATTCGCATAAGAAATATGCATTTAAACATTCAGATCCGCTTTGACCGAATACAAGGTTCTTTTTATTTAAAATTTGATTTATTCATATAGTCGATTTAATAGTCGTTTCATACTGAATGAATAAACTTTGTAACGTAAAATTTGTACAAAAAACCTAATTACAAATTTTTGATATTCATCGGATATACTACCTCGATCTACCACCTATGCGTACAACAATCGTAAATGCACGATGTATAATTCCATTATTATAATAGGTAAATTATATGTTATAATAGTTTCAATTTGGGATTACATATATATATTTTTGGGCGATATTTGCTGATATAAGAATTCATATTTTTTACAATAAACAGGCAGTGACAGCGCGTATCGCTAAACTTAAATTAAAAGCTGAACCCGCGCTGCATTTACTAGACGCCTGTAAATTGTTACGAACGGAAAAAGACAAAGAACGCAATCTAATATCGCAGAAGGAGCAAGAGGAAGACACTATTTCTGATTTACAAGTATACTTCTTATGATAAATTACAAATGTTTGTAAAAATTTATCTTGCGCCTCTAAATGCTTTTATTCTCTTAATTTTACTATATCCAGAATTCCCTTCAACAAGTCGAACGTGAACTATACACTATAAAACGCAACAGTACCGGACTCACACCACAAATATTAATTCAACATCTGACCGGGGAAATAACAGTACAATCTGCAATTGTAAAAGAGAAGCTTCCATCTGAACTAAACGCAAAGAAGAATCGGATGCGAGCATTATCATTAATTAAGGAATATTCATGTTTAGGAGCGGATAAAATTATGACTATGAGAAACAATTTAGATGTGATATCGAAGGCTATACAAGATTTAGTAGAATCGAAAGTATGTATCAAGAATGAAATCATAACATGTTTGAATAACAGAGATTTATTTGTAATAACATATTGTATGGCAGGTCTTAAGTATTTACTTCTTACAAATATATCATTTTTCAGATGCTTTAAGCATCAATATTATTAACAATAAATAACACAGGCCTGCAAAATTGGAGGTGTTGAAAGTTGATTGGGATTTAACTATGTTTTCTTACGTAATTTTTCGCGCTGAATCCGAATCCGGCGGCAGAATTGCTCTATCACGTCAGGTTT